TATCTTTAGGGGGCTCAACATGTAAACCATAGGGCTTGATTTATAATCCAGTGGAGTCTACATGTAAATCGATGAGCTCGATATCTAAATCGATAGGCTCAACATGTAAACCGGTGGACTTGACATGTAATGTGAGGGGCTCAACAATGGTCCGAATGATGGATGTTGTGTTGTTTCTGATGGTGCTGTTGAAGACGGTTGAAAGTGTCTATTCTTTATCCACAATTAGTCGGGGATGATGATGTTGTGTCGGTGGATGTTTATCCCAACGATGATGAATAAACTCGTCTCATACCTCATTAGAAAGTATGAACGCTTTTTTGTTTTCGTTGAACCATGACATATATTCAGATGAAACTGACAAACCAATTTCTAAAACATAATGGTGATCGGGAATACATTCATATCAATTCTCCCATATCGCTATCCACACGTTGTGTCTCACCCTCCAATCAATATCAATATTGCCTCGTCTGTCAAAGTTATGCAAATTGTCGAGATTCATAAGTGCTTCTGAGATCAATTGAGTAAAAATATAAATTGGTGAAGTACACAGTCAATTAGTTGCCACTCAACAATAACATAATAGATAAGAGACACAACCGAATGCTATACTTGCAATAGACCACTCAAGTCAGGTGAGATGTAAGTCATTATTTCTTCATTCATATAAAACATCCATTAAAACTGCAAAAAATATTTTTATTATCAACATATAAATGAAATTCTAATTATAGAGATAATTAAATAAAAAAAATTCAATAATTAAAAACATATCTCTAAACTTGATTTTTTTCAATTAATAATCTTATATATTCTAATTCATCAGGATCTCGCGATAGCTTTTTACTGATGACTATCTATTTAATATAAAAAAATATTTTACTCAATTTTATAATAAAAATAAATTGATTTATAAATAAATTAAAAATTGAAATTATCTTAGTAAGAAAGAGAAGATAAATGTTTCGTTCCTGAGGCATAAATATAAAACAAACATTGTAGAAAAAGGAGACAACCGTCAATATATTTTTTTCTATAATTCGTCACTCAACACATTTCTTTAAAAAAGGGCTAAAATTGTCAATTCTAACTAAACATGCTCGCTCCTTCAAAATCAATAAGGTGACTCAACCACATGACAATTGTAACACCCATCTCCCGTATATCTTTCCGTATACGAGATACAAATGTCACATCACTTTTAAAACAATTCCTCGTTTGAAAACCCGTAAAATTTTGTTTCTTTTTATATAACATTTTAATTTACTTATAATAAAACATGCATTAAACTTAAATAGACAAACAAAAAGAGATGTTTAAACACTTTAACGATTTACAACAGTTTAATTCAAATGATTTTCATAGCGTTTTTACTAAACCTAGTACATGCCAACTAAAATACATCAAAAGTAGACATGTATGTCATATTGTTACTGACGAGGCGACTCTAGCTTTGATGTCCGATGATCTCCTTACTCAGCTTGTATTAAACCTACGCGTGAAATAAACACACGTTAAGTATTACTTAGTGAGGCAAAACTAACCATACAATGAAATCATTATATCATTATTTATTATTGATCAAATACCAATTCATTATTTTCCAGTCATTATCATTTCTTTGTAATGCACCCGTAGTGCCCATACGGTCATTCATAAACATATTATGAATTCTGTGGTTTGCACACATAGTGCCAAAACGGTTATTCATCAACATATGATGAATTCCGTACTTTGCACACTTAGTGCCGAAACGGTTATTCATCAACATATGATGAATTTCGTGATTTGCACACTTAGTACCGAAATGGTTATTCATCAAGATATGATGAATTCCGTTATTTGCACACTGAGTGCCAAAACGGTTATTCATCAACATATGATGAATTCCGCGATTTGCACACTTAGTGCTGAAACAGTTATTCATCAACATATGATGAATTCTATGATTTGCACACTTAGTGCTGAAACGGTTATTCATCAACATATGATGAATTCTGTGACTTGCACACTTAGTGTCGAAACGATTATTCATCAACATATGATGAATTCCGTGATTTACACACTTAGTGCCGAAACGGTTATTCATCAATATATGATGAATTTCGTTAATTGCACACTTAGTGTCTATTTGGTAATCACCACACACATATTAATCAATCATACATATATGACTAGTATAACATATAGTCACACAACATATAGGTACACAATTAAATGCACTCACATGGCTTTCCTCGCTACTGTATCCAAAATGCAAAGCTGATTACTCAGGTACTTGACCTTTTCCCTTCGTTTTGCTTATCTCGGGAGCTTTATTTCGATCTACTCAAACATCCATTAAAAACACGTATCATGTCAATTGTTAGTATATTTCCTAACAATTATACTTAAACAATACTCAAAAGGACATATCATTAATTTTCTATAACAATATCAGCCTATTTTTAACATTTCTGGCTCAATAGTATTGATACCCCCACCATGGTATCAATACTACTATACTATGATACTAATACTCTATTACAGTACCGATACTATTTTCGCATTCTGTGATAAATGGTATCGATACCATCCTCATAGTATCGATACTCCCCTCTTGGTATCGATACCACTTGAATCGATATCGATACTACTCAGCAGATTCTACTGATTTTAAGCTTATAGTATCGATAATGTTCTATCAGTACCGATACCCGTGCCCGAAATTTTCAGTTTTCCACCCGATTATCACCCAAATGGGGTCAAATTTTGTTATTTTTTACACCATACAATACTATTAAACTCTTCTTTACCTATCCATACTAACTTTCCTTCATTTAGTTTCTTAGAACATCTAAAATCTTCCAAGAACATTCCATTCTAAGAATCACACCACTTTTTGTAATATGTTCTTAATCCTATTCAATGCTTTTAATCTCTCATTTACCTCTTTGACAAGCCAAATCTACCAGTAAACATCCATAAACACTCATATATTAACATATCATTTCAAAACCCATTTTCAAAAATCTTCATTATTTCCTCTATCTCATAGTTTTAATCCCATAAAACTCTTCCTTAAGCTTCTATCATACTCAAGGCTTCAAAAACCATCCAAAAATGAAATGATAAACTAACCATATGAAATCTCACCTTTGAGCTATGGATGAGAGTTTTTCCACGAGGAAAGAAGAAGAAAATAGAGATGACTTTTGTATTTTTCCCTTTTTCCCTTTTTTTAATACCTTATTAGAATGAATTTTTAATTCATTTTCATTTAAAGGGCCAAAATGCCCTCTTAATCATCCATTGACACAATTTAGTCTAAACCACTAATCCAAATCATTCTCATCTTTTATCATTTAATCGAATAAATCCTCATATTTTTAAATTCTTTCAATAAAGTCCCTAATTCGATATTTGAGGTATTACAACAATCACATGGTTGCGAGATTTATCGAACATCAAGATCTCTCATATGGTTCATAAAATATATGCACGAGCAAATACTCGTGTTTATTCTTCAAAACAATTGTCTTTTAAATCTTCAAAATCTATTTACCACTACGTTAACGATTTGGCCATTGTTAAACCTATCCATAACCTTTTCTATATAGTGGTGACATAAATCACCACAATTATCATCAACTATACCAGCGAGAACACACTCATTTACTGGGAGTCCTAACTGCATTAAAACACCATCTAGAATAATGGTGCACTCCTCATACAAAAGATAGAATCTATATATCTCTAGTCTCTACCTCTCTATTAGTACATAAATGAGGATGGGTTGAAGTCCATAACCTCTAATTATTTGGGATACATACCCCAATCCAACATCTCTCAAGTAACTCTAAATACAAGCAAGTTGATGTGTACATTTTAGTGTTATGGATAAACACTTTTAATATACGATCATTATCCTAATTTATAAAAAACAAATATATTAAAAATTAAAATATTAAATAAAACAAAAAACAAAATAATAATAAAATATATATAATAAAATTTAATAAAATATTCTTACCATATTCGGTTGATGAGTCGAAATACGAGACAAGAAATGGAAGGCGAGAAAAGAAAAATACGAGATAATTAAAAATTCAACAAAGATATGTTCAACAGAAAATGTCTTTGTCACATCAGCATAAAGTGATTTCTATAGAACACATTCTTATTGAGTGAAAAACCACTTATACAAAACGTTTATTGTAAAATATATCTTATTGTCACGTAGTATGAAAGATTACAGGATCAATGAATATTAATGAAAGTATACTATTTTGGTATTTAGTAATTTTTAATGTGACTTTTTAGTAAAATTACCGGATAAAAGTGTATTACGTGTCAAAGTGGCCGCATTTTCTTGCTTCCAAACACGTGTTTCTCACATCTAACGGCCATTACATCACCGTCAATAAAATTACGTAGCCACAAATGTCAAAAATAATACTAGAAAAATCTTTTAGTGGGTCACCCTCACAGTCGAAGAATCCCCGGACATAACAGACGCTTTACATTACCGCTTAGACAAAAAAGTTTAATTTTGAGACTTTGGTCCCTCTATTATATTAATATTTTGTATTTAGTTATGTTTCTTTAATTTAATGTAATTTTATATTTTAATTTTGTAATTATTACCGAGAATGATTCTAAATTGATTAATTTAAATTTTCAAAACAGTCTTAAGAATTGATATATATGTTTGTTATTGATTGAATAAGTTTGATTGCATTTTACATGATTTTAATTATATGACTGAAAAATGACTAATGCTATTATTAATTTGAAGTTTCCTATAATATTATATAGTTTTAAAATTAAATTATGTAAATTAGAGCGGAGAGATTAAAAAATAAAATAATATTAAACATCAAAATAATAGAGGGACTATAATCAAAATTAGACCAAATAAGTCCTGCAAGGGGAAAAAAAAAAGAATTTTAGTAAAATAAAATCCGTTTCGATTCCGTTTGATATATAAATCATGTTTACTGACCACTTGCTTCTTGGCGGTTTGAGCTTTACACTTCCGAACATTCGCTTAATTTTTTATTTTTACTTTACACACTCTCTATGGCGATCTCGTTTCTCTAAGGTTAGATCTTATTTTTCTCTCCTTTAATTTAGATTGTATATATGTTTTAATAGAGTAATCGGATCTTTATTTTTATTTTTTTAAAGGTTTTGTTTTGAGCTGGAAATTGAGTAGATCGGAGAGTGGTAAGTGGTTGACGTTTATTTTACGGATGAATGAGGTATGTTCAGGGGCTTTTTGTTATGTTTCTTCAGTTAGAGCTAGTGATTTTAGTGTCTGTTTGGAGAATACGCCGGGAAAAGGAAAACGGAAGAAAATTGTTGGATTTTTTGGCCTTGTCTATTTAAAGTGGATAAGCTTCTTCAATTTTATTTTTGTGTTCCTTCTTTTTATTTGGGGAGATTAGAAAAAGAAAAAAATTAGCTGAACTAAGCAGCCACAGCAGGTTCACGTTTCTGTAAATATATATTTATATTTTTTTAAGAATTGCTCAGTATAAAATTGCAAAAAAAATTATTTAATATAAAGTTCTATTGCTGTTCCTGAAACAATTTTTTTTTTGTAAATGTTAAATCACTAGTTGAAATTCGTAGACTTGGTTTTTATCATTTCCATTTTTTTTTTGTTTAAAATGTAAGCCCTTTATTATTGTCTTGTATTTTTGGTTGAAAATTCTCGTATGGATCCATGCTTGAAAAACTTTAGGCAAATTCTTATACTCTAAATGGGGTTTGATTCTCCTTTATTGATTGCTTTATAGTTTTGTCCTATCATTTCTTGTGGCTTTTAAAAGGTACAATGCAATATAAGCTTATGGTATTATAAGGGAAAATGGCTAAGGTAAAATGTGAGGAAAAGGAGCTAGAAATTCAATAACGATGAAATAATAGAACATGTAAAAGTGCTTCCATGTTTTTTTCATTGTGCTGAAGGCCAATTTTGAACACCCCCCGCAAACCCATAAAGAGGGGCGGAGAGAGAGGAAGACAATCTGGTAAATTTGTAACATGTTTTGCATTGTCTTATTGATTTACCATTGGTCTTTTGGAGAGTTATAAATTTAATGAAGGCGACAATAGAAGTTCAATTTGGACCTAGCAACTTTGAACACGGCACAATTACATGATACAGGGAAAATAAATAAAATACAAGATGACAAAGACAAAGAACATGACACGAATACATGAACGTGTTAATATATATATATATATATATATATCATGAATTATTAACGTATCAAAATTTATCAACCTTCTATATCGATGATCGCACCCCAAAATGTTTATTTATTTATTTAAAATTCCTTCCTCTAGGTTAATCAGAGGAAATGCAAATGTTTGTTTGCCTGGATTTGTTAATTTAACCATTTTCTGATGTCCTGAAGACGGTAATTTTATCAATTTCTTTCCCGTTAATTGTAGGGAGAAACTGGAAGCATGAATGCAGCTCTAGAATTGTAATACAAATTAAGGTTGTAAAATGAGAATGGATAGGACACAGCATTTGACAAAGAAGCCTGCTGATGTTAAATGTCAAAGGGTAAGAAACTGTTCTTTAATTTTTATTTACTTTTTTTTTCTGTGTGGATTTTCAGTTCTCTTCAATATTTGAGTCTTATGTGTATCATGACTTGCTTATCCTAAGGTTTTGCAACATGCAGAGGAACACAAAGGACATATATCATTTATTTAATTATGAAATTTGATCTAATAAATTTTGGGAGTGACTTTCTGCCTGAGATACCTTCTTAAAAGGAAAATTTAATGTTCAATTAATCAGTCATTCTTTTTATGTTTCTTTGTTCTGCCTCCCTTTTGTTTTTGATGCTTAGTCACGTTTATGGTCTTAAACCTTCAGCCATTCCTTCACATCCTTTTACTTATGATATTCTCCTTGAATAAGCATGCAAATTTGATAAATTCTACATTGCTGCCTGGCCTTCCTTTTACTTTTGTTCTCTGGATATAGGTAGATGACTCCATAGTCCCTGGCTTGGAAGATGAAGCAACCGAGGTTGAGCATTTACTTGTGGAACCTCAAAGTGAGCATATTTCAGTAGATGGAGTCTTATGTTTTGGGAAGGAGAGTATAGAGAAGCATTTGAAAATGGAGGACTTCTCTTGTGCTTTTGATTATGGATGGAAAATTGGTTGTGGTAATTCTCTAATAGCTTTTCACTGCCTTTTCTGTTGATTCTCTCATTTAGAAATACAAAGAATTGATCTTTCAAGCATTTTTAGTTTGTGAATGGTAGCATGCAGAAGCATCTAGAGTGTTTGATAAGTACTCTTTGAGAGGGTTTAGTCTCATCCCTTCAAAAACAAAGTGTGGGCTATTTCTAGGGCAGGAAAAATAAAAACAATATAGAAACAAAAAAGTATGCATTCTAGGTGCGTGGATTTTCTAATATTCTTCTGTAGAATGATTTGAGCATAATTTTGCTCTGCCTTTAATACTGCACTCGCACAAGTGACATCTATTATGCTTTAAACAGGTTAAAATAAGTGTTTCCTGGGGAATGAGCTTTTTACCACTAAATGGATTGAACTAACCAATCCTGCTTAATGCCTGTTTTATCTGTTTTCTCCATTAGTTAGTGTGCATAACTCAAAAGTGATCAGTAATTGTTTGAACTCCAAATTTTTTTAATTTTTGCTAGGACAATCTTTGACTAAATGGTCTAAATTTGATTTCAAGGAATGAACTGTTTTAATCTTCTCAAGACATGCAAAATAGTCACAGGAATGAGACAATGCGATAATAGAAACTAACACTAACTGTACAACTCTCCTTGTTGGGTATCATTCAGGTCCATTTTATTTTACCGCGAATCCCAAACTTTACAACTCTTTTGGTGGAACAAAAAATGCTTTTGTTCAGCTTTTAATTTATAATTTCCGTAGTTATTCTTCTGATGCTGTTATATCTTTTGTGCTTGATAAGGTGGGTTAGATTCTATCTATGGTCAAGGAGGAGATGATTTGAAGCTTGAAGTATGTATTGCTTATTCTTGAGGCTTTATTTTCTTTGAATTTATCTTCTTATCCTTTAGATGTGCTTGCTATTTCCTTCCTTCCTTTTTATTCATTTATTTATAGTTTTCTTTCTGAATATGGTTTACTCTATGCAATCGTGCATAGGCGATTTACTTATCTGATAAAATGCTGCTTTAGTAGGTTCTTGACGGGTTGCTGGATGAAGTTGATGAAATGGATGATATACATGCAGCACATGATCTCTCCAGTGCATGTGAAGATTTTCTTTTGGGTGAGTCTTGTTGTCTTAATTGTCTCCAGGTGTCTGCTATAACATATTATGCTTATATATTATGTTCCTTTCTCTCTCCCTTTTTTCTTTTGTCCAGATATTGAATTCCCAGAAAAGTTTTCCGAGTTGGGTCATGTTTCTCATGAAGTATCAAATTTGCGTAACTCAAGTTCAGAAAGTCATTCACCCGGATTTAGTGGTAGTAACAGTGTTGGTGGCATATCAGAATCATTATTTGTAACTGTTCAAGAATCCAACTACAAGAACAGTGTGCTTGGGAAGATGGTCAATTGTGATTTACGTCATACCTTTGGGACCAAATGCAGTTGTCCTGATCCAGTTATGGAAACTGGTCGACATAGTAAAGAACATGATCAAGATTTTGTCGAGTCTGATGATGAAAAACCTTTAGTGAGTTTTATACTGTCTAACAAGAAGGTAAAAAGCTTTGTTGAAGTACCAAAAGGCGGCACTCATCTCAGACAGAAGAGACTACGGAAGCCTACAAGAAGATATATTGAAGAGTTCTCTAGACATTCTACTACTGGAAAGAAGTGCCTTAAAATCGAACCACAAAAAGAATTTCCTCAAGTTCCAGAGTCTCAGCCACGGAGAGGACGTCCCAGGAAAATCATGCCAAAACTGGTAGATATTCCACGTTTTTTGTTTCTCCCTCTCTCTTCCCTCTCTTCAGTAGCTTGTTTATGTTTTTAGTCATCATTTTCTTTTAGTTAGATATTGGCCGTGATTGCTGTATGATTGCCATGAGAACCAGAAAAACTCATGCATAATGAGGGAAAAAAATATTGATAAATTGTTGTTGCAGATTGGTGATGTTTCACACAGTACATATAAAAATATTCGAGTAAGGAAATGGTTTTTCATAATCCTTTCTTCCCGGTGGCAACATGTATGTGTTTACGACGTAGGTTTATTTTGCAGTATTTTAGTACAAAAGGTAATTATTGTATCATATTAGCCTATAATATACGAACTCAAGTGCGAGTTTTTCTATATAGTTAAAGTATCTTTGGAGGACATATTTCCATATCCCTGTGTTAACACAAATATCAGCAGTCGTACGCTTTATGGAACTTTTGTATGGATTATATTACGATAGTGTTTTCTTCTATAAAAGCTTTGAACAGAATAGAAGCCAAGTGACCATGAAAGATGTGATCACACTTGCATGAGGTGATAGCATTCTTGTTCATTGATGTTCGTTTTTGCATGTTGTGGTCTATGCAGTAGTGAACCTTACAACTTTGTTAAGCATGATAAAAGATAATTTTTTGTGTTTTCTTGGCAGGAGTTTGAATCTGATTGTGAGCTTTCAGCTTCTGAACCTGAAGACAAACGTAAGAGGACCAAAAGATCCAAAACGGCTTTTGATAGGAGGAAGCATCAAAGGATGTGGACCCTTGCTGAGGTGATTAAGTTGGTTGACGGAATTGCTCAGTATGGTGTTGGAAGATGGACTGATATTAAAAAGCTTCTATTTGCATCATCTTCTCATCGAACACCTGTTGATCTGAGGGTACCTCACTGCTTCATCCAATTACACATAGTTTCCTCGTTATAAAACTCGAACTATTTTTAAATATGGATCCTTCTCTTCAGGACAAATGGCGAAACCTTCTAAGATCTAGTTCTGCACATGAACAAAACATGCGAGAGGTTAGCTTTCTTCTTTTCTATTTCCTTTTCCTTCTTTATGTGCATCTTGAAATGCAAATTATTGTTTCAAGTTACATGTATGATATTGAGACCCCCCTTTCTGATAAAACCGTCAATAGGGTAAATATTTACTTGATAATCATACCTTGTTCACGAAGAGTGATTTAATTCGCCCCCCCCCCACCAAATATGTTAGTTACAGGATGAGACTAATACGAAGCATAATGTTCGCGTGCTACCAAAGACAGTGGTATGTCGTATCCGTGAATTGGAAACCATTCATCCATATCCAAAGGTTCGTAACTCGAGCCTTTCATCTGTTGATTCCGACCCTTCATCCAAACAACTGACAGCTGAAGGAGCTGCGGTTAGCTCTCACAGAAGAAATTTACGACGGAAGAATTGTAATTGACGTGCAGTGAAGCAAAGCTATAATTCAAGTTTAGTTGTAAAGAAGCCGTCCCTTTAACACCCATCTTAATCTGCACATATAAATGTTGTCAGACCATTAGGAATTATGTGGTAAATGCTGCAACAAGTGCAAAACACTAATCTTACAGTCTCAATAGCCAGTGATAGGCCTAAACTGATATTTTGAGCAGCATGTTTTGTGCACAGGCGTCAGTTTTAGCATTGAAACTCGAAAACTGAGGTCATATAATTATGGAACTTTTGCCTTATCTTTACGAGATATTTGCTTCTCATTGGATACGAAATGCGTCTAAACAATCGGGTTTTAAACTTATTTCTGAAAGTTTTTTTTTATTAAAATGTTTATAAGTACATGTTTGATTTCTCATATTCGTTGAATCTTGACAACCTGAGGAAGAGAAAATCAATTATAGGGAAGCAGTAAATACAAATGATTGCATTGTAGTTTTTTTAATAATATGAAATGATTAAAATAATATTTGTTTAAAATTATTTTAGTTTATTAAAATATATAATTTTTAGATGTAACTCTTAGAAATTTGAAGACAATATTCCTTTCCTCAATGATTAATATTTTTTATCACTTAATATGGACCAAAAAAACCCAATACCTCCTTTCAGGTTACAAGAAAAGCAAACACAAGTATAACTCTATATCCGACATAAACAGGCTTCTATGCACTTCCTCTGTCTTGGGATGTTGTGGTGGTTGTCTATGTTCTTGTCTAAGCTATGCTCCACTGCGTTCTTCCTTGCTTGAACCCCGTTTCTGTTGTTGACGACATGGTCTCGTTGTTGCTCATATATTCCAGCCACCATGGCTCTCCTCAGCCCTCCTGCCGTGCAACTACAACTCACCATCATTGTTACTGTAAACAACACCAGAAGCTTCATGCTGCACATTCTTGGTTAATGCACATGCAAAAGGATGTAGTAATGTCCGCTAAGTTAGGGTGCATTTATAGAGACGTCATCCAATGTTGAAATGAGTGTGTTTTAGAAAATAAATACCATGAATGGGGTCTCCACCATCATTATTGGCTCCCTACCAGCATGTCCTTAACATTAAAACAGTGTTAAGCATTTTGATATTTATTTATACCTAATTAAGTCTTGGGAACCACTAGTGTGAATGATAGTTGAGACAAAAGTTTTGAGTGTATTAAGCAAGCAGCCTTAACAGGGAACATCCACCATTTAAGTGGGAACATAATTAGTCAATGATTCATAATTGCCTGCTTTCATCATTGATTTGCTTACTTGAAAATATCACACATAAACTCCATCCCTAACCAATGGTACTTTCCAGAATCTGAAAGTCATTGCAAACTTGTGGAATACAAATATTTTCTTTTTTTTAACTCAAATCCAATTTAATTTAATTATAAAAAAATAATGATTCAAACTGAATATTTTATTTGAATTCTTTCTAATTGAATCTAGAGTAATTTGAATTATAGATGATAAAAATTTAAAATGATTCAAATAAAAAATGAGTTCATCTATAAAAAAAAAAACTAAAACCGAAACAGTTTGATAAAAGGACTTTGCCAAGAAAAGATGTAAATCCAAAATTAGTTGGAACTAAAATTATCTAAAAAATTTATAATTCAAATTAACTTGATGGATTAAAAGGGGGAAACCGACTCAACTTGTCCAATTAAGATAGCAGAGAAAACAATGTAAATATGGTTGTAGTTTTAGTGGGGAAAGGAAGCATGTGAACAATTTAGGATACCCAGAAGCTTCCATTTTAGAGCAAGAGAGAAGGGGTTGCAGGTGGTGTAAGCAAGAGAGAAGGGATTGTAATACAAGTGTCATTCCACTACCATCTAAAACAAGCTCTCGCTTTCAACTCTGCATAAAAATCTTGCTCCCAAACTATGCTTCCACTGCCACTTGACTATGTCACTAGAATTACAAACCCAAGGAGAAAAGGAAATTAGAGCATCAATATGGAGTGTATGTGGTCTCTCTTTTCTCTAACCTTGCATGATCATTTAAATGTATTTTTATTTAATTTAAGTATGCAATATATTATATTAATTTATAGTAATATTTTTATCATATTTAATTATATGTATATTTATAAATAAATTAGTTACTCATATGGCATATTAGATTAATCGTACATTTAACCTCATATCATAATTTAACTAAACATTACATCTTTTTATTTTAAAATTTAAAATATTAAGAAAACACTGTCTAATCTTAGAAGTCATATTTTGATAACTTAAAATTGAAAAATATCTTAATAAGTGATACCCTAAATTTATCGAGAAAAAAATTGTTTGATAAATTTACTAGTGCCGATAGAGACTCTTTGTTGACTTGGGAGCACACATCACGTTACTCATGAATGAACTCCATATATTATAGTGAGTCTAGTAAGACGGAATTTTGTTGGTAATGGTATGAAGGTTAATATTGAGAAAACTAAATTACTTTATGTTTCTTCTCGAATTTCATGGCAGTACATGTGATATTTGGGATTAAGGGAATTGATGTCGTGTCGGTCAGTGGAAAACGATATTTATAAGTTTGATCAACTGTTAGTAATTAATCCAATTGTTTGTTTGTAAATAATGTTGATGAATAATCCCATGGAAATTTGGCAGGCATAGGAGGTTAGGGCATCTGCTCACTATGATTTGGGTAATACAACTATTGATTTGTATGTTGCTCTTCAGATGGGTAAGAGCCTTAAGCATCAGAGTGCAAATGCTTTCGAGTTAACTCAGCGTCAAGTAGCAAATGCGCCTACTTTGAATTTTTTACAAGACGACGGGGCATATGTTCAATTAAAGACCAAGTAGGGGTAATTCTACTATAATTTTATATTTGGGTAATTGTTAATATGGCCCACCTGTATTTTCTTGTTTCTATTAGGTTGTTGTAACTGAAACCCAATTTGTTTAAGCCCCTTGTTCTGTAACAAACTCAGCATAACAGTGCTCAGATTCACAACACTCATTGCACTTGGGGTTGTAAACGAGTTGAGTCGAATTTGGGTATTGTTGAGTTTAACTCGATTTGAAAATTTTAAATTTAAATTTGACTCGATTCGAAAACTAGCGAGTTTAAAATTGTCAAGTTTAACTCGAACTCAGAATAAAAAATTTAAGCTCAAATCGAGTTGAAAGCTCGCAAGCTTAAAATTTTCAAGCTCCATCCAAAATTAAAAATTGAAATTTGACTTAAACGCTAACTAGAACCTTAAGTACATGAAATGTAACACCCTAAACCCGATTAGGCCTAAAGCACCACATTGGGCTACCATGATAACCCCTGATTTTTAAAACATACTATGTGGTACCAAAATAAATATATACATCAATTATAAAAATACTTTTATAAAACCGGAGGTCCATGACATATGATTTAAAATCAAAATAGTACAACTCAAAGTTTGATAAACCAAATACGTAAGTAAGGTTCTATGAATACATATGCCCACTAAAGCTATAGTACAATACACTGATAGAGATGTTGGAAGTCCTATTGCGACGACCCTTCATGATCGGCTCAAGCTATTGACCTTCATGATCAACTCAAGCTAAAGACATGGTACGAAGCAGTAGGTACATGGATGATGTAGATCAAGTGCTACCTACTTGGGGTTTTAATGTTCTATCGCTAAAGTAGGGGCATTGTGCTTCCTTTAATCTCTGCTACGAGCCTCGCCATGACTGTAACATACCAAAAACTAAGTTAGTGACTAAATTGTAAGATTTTGAAACTTTGGGTCTAATTTCAAAAAATTAAAAAAAGTTCAAGGACTTATATTGGAATCTCTTGGTAATGGATTAAATAGTAAAGATGGAAGGAATGAAGGGTATTATGGTCTTTTTAGTTTAAAAGATATTTTATCTCATTTATTAAGAGATAAGCACATGGGATTTGGGAGAGTTATCTGGAAGCCATTTCTTCTTGCTTTCTTTTTCTGCCCGTAAGCTCCATTTCAAAGGTAAGATTCAAGATTTTTGTTAAGATCTTTAAATTTTAGGGTTGTGTTGAAGGCTTGGGTATTATACAAGTTTAAGGAAAGCTTGTATAAGATTAAAACAACAAGAAGAGAGATTTAGAAAGGAATTTGTAAAAAGGGTGTAGAAGTGAATTATTGATATGAGGTAGTTTTTGAAGTTTTGTTGATAAATTTGATTTGTCATAAGTAGGAATAAGAAGTCTAAAGTATTAGAAATGAGTTTAGAACAAGTTGAAAATTAGGAAAATTCTTAAGTTCAAGAATTATGGTGAGATATTGAAGATGATGATGTGTTATAGTGATAAAAGATGGTTTAAGTATATATAGTTGAGTTTAATGGCATGAAGGGAGTTATATAAGTGGAGTTTAGGTGAAGTGTTGGTAAATTTTGGGTTAAAGAAGTATGATCTAGGTTAGTAGTATCGGTATTGGATAAGTAATTACCGATACTACAAGGAAAAATATGTGATAATTATACGTGGGTATCGATATTGCATGAACAATATCGATACTATAAGGCAAAAGTTGGTAAAATATTCAAGGGGTATCGATACAAAAGCTATAATATCGACACCATGGGTATCAATACCAATGTGGAGGTATCGTTACCATTCTTGCGATAAAATTACAGAATCCTAAATAGGTATCGATACCATGGGATGGTATCTATACTACAAGTATAGAGGTATCGGTACTGTACTTGTAGTACCAATACTACTTAAGTTGAAATTGACAAATTAGTGCTTTGATTAGTTTGCATTAGTAAAAATCTTTTTGAGTAATTTGAATCCCAATATTTATTGGATTGTATATTCATATAGATATTGATCGAAAGCAAAGTCCGGACAATCCGTCAGAGTAAGATTTATCGAGAGAGCAATAAGAGATTGGTATTGACTAGTGAGACCAAGGTGAGTACACAATATTATGTATAAGTTATTTTATGGAAGTAAGACTTGCGATGAGTCTAATTCCTCTATTAGATTACATGACTATACAAATACAAGCATGTTGTGATATGATGCTTATGTGTAAATGAATATATGCATAGGTCTAGATTTTAAGTGCATATGTATATTGATCTATGTGAATATAGGTGAGTGTGATAAACTATGTGAATTGATATAATTGAATTATGTAATTAAGGTACAAATGAGAGGAGCTACGTGATAATAAGTTATATGATTACATGATTATAAGATATAAGACATGTAATAAGAGATATGTGATTTCATGA